ATGGTTGTGAGTTAACAAATGAATAAAACTCTTAGAAGCTACCTTAACCAAAGCAACTTTTTTTTAGATTGGAAGTCAGACTAGGCTATCTGACCCACAGATATGTTTGTCTTGTTTTGAGTAGTTTCTTAGGATACCTCATATTAAAAAAAAAAAAAAATCAAGGGACTTTCCTGGTGGTCCAGTGGTAGATTCTGTGCTCCCAACACAGGGAGTGCAGGTTTGATCCCTGGTTAAGGAACTAAGATCCCACATGCTGCATGGTGTGGCCAAAAATATATATAAATGAATAAAAAATAAATGCACACTCCCATTCATTCAAACATTTTGAAAAAAAATCTAGATATTTAGCAAGTAGGCTTGCTTCATTTGTATATGGGAATGCTCAGCAATGTACCTTGTAGATATAGATAAGGCATATAATTCTCAGTTTCCAGTCTTCACCACTTCCTATTATATTACATTCAGCCTGCCTTATTATTTTTTTAACCTATCAAGAACATTTGTTTGTAATCTCTGGTCTTCATCTTATCATAAAGACCACAAATCTGTCCTTTCTATACTTCTTTTCAACATTTATTTTCTAACCATGTCCAAGATACTATGCATCCAAATACAAATAACACATCATCCCTGCCCTTGAGGAGCTCTCAGGCTAGAAGCTGAGACCAATGCGTTAAGTGGTCCTAGGCAGAATGATGACAGCACAAAGGAACAATCAGCTCTACTCTGGCAGGTCAGGAAGCACAGTACTAGGGAGATGCTTGAACCCAACCTTGGAGGGGTATTCCAGGCAGAATAGACAGAGCAACAAGGAATGCCACTCTTTTGGCAATTACACATAATTCAGAATAGATGAAAATGTGGAAAGATGCAGGAGGGTGAGAGCGATAGGAGTGCTAAGGTTATATCAAGAATGGCTTGTATTTACACTAGAAAGTGTGACTTTTATCCCATATGCCAAAGGGAATTAATGAAGAGACTGTGGCATAATCAGGTTTATATTTTAGAAATATGATTTTGGAAACAGCATGGAGGATGGTTTCTGAAGGAAGACTTCCGGTTGGGAAGGTATCAATGACAAAATCCAAACTGGTTTGAGGCCTGAAGGCAAGAGGCAGCAATAGGAATGGAAAAGAGAAACTGGCTAGAGACAGTGACTGACCAACAAGGGAGATGAGGGGAAAAAAATGTCAATAAAGACTACTCGCAAGCTTGTACTTGAATGATGAGGTGTATAAAAAAATGCAGGAGAATTAATGCATGGGAGGATGAAAATGGGTGGTATTAAATCTGAGGTGTAAGTGGCTACAAACGTGGCGATATCCATTTGGCATCTGGATAAGAGTCAGGAATCGTGTGGCAGGCCAAGGCAGGAGACAAAGACTAGGACACTGTCAGCATTTATGATAAATCAGAAGACACCAAGATGCATAGTATCACAGAGGGGTATGCACAATTAGATAAAGAGCAACTATATATTCCTAAGAATCCCCGACACTTAAATGGAAGAGAGGGAGCAATGCTTAGCAGAGAAGCAGGTAGATGTGGGGCAGGGGTAGCAGTATAAAGATGAAGAGAATCAGAGTACCAGGAATTGAGGTGATGGCAAATGTGTGGTGCAGATTATATACACAGATTCTAGGCTGGATAGAGAAGAAAGTAAAGAAAGGATAAATTTGTGTAGGGTTGCCAGATTTACTGGAAACTAAAAAGGGACATTCGGCTAGATTTGAATTTTAGATAAACAAAGAATACTTTTTCAAGTATAAACTTATCCCAAATATTGTATAATGCATACTTATACTAAACATTTATTCACTGTTTATTTGAATTCAAAATTAACTGGGGGCAGGGGATTAACTGCTTGCTGGGTATCTGAAAATTTAACTGAGTGTCCTATATTTTATCTGGCAATCATAATTAATTGAAAAGGAAAGATGTAGAGACGGGAGTTCTCTGAGGTTACAAGGCAAGGGCATATTGTAGAAAAGTAAGAAAGCTGAATATTAAAGCACTGCAGTTCAGAATTTCAGAGATGGAAGAGTGATGAAAAGGATCAAGAAGGGGTCCATTGGAATTTGTGGCTGAAACAGAATGGAAATGTAAATCCAAAGAGAAACACTGAGACAAGAAGAATAGTACATGGTTCGTTAGTACGGACACTGACTTCAGTTAAAATGATGGTTGGAGGGTAAAGGGGGTGCATATGTATCAAAGTCTTTAATAATAAAGTAGAATATGGGAGAGATTAAAAAATACATATATAGTGTCTGTATTCTTGTCTGACACATGACAGCCAGGTGTCAGACAAGAAGATGGAGAAACAGGGTGAAGGGGAGTATGTTTTCATAGCACTGCTGTTACAGAGGAGGAGTGAAAAGAGATGGGAGAGACGTGAGTAAAAAACAACAAGCAGAAAGAAGTGGGGATGAGAAGAAAAGGAACAAACAAGTTAGTAATCTAGTCCTGACCGAGAGAGAAGACTTCTCTAAGTAAATGAAGCGTAGCTTGAGCTGAGATCCAAAGGATGTGATGTCTTGCAGGTATCTCATATTCATCAGGTGTAAGATCAAAGAGCATCGCAAACTTGTCACATTTTCAGTGTTTCCTAGTTCAATGAATGGTTCCACTGTCTGTCAAGCCATGCAGGTTATAAATATAGGAGGTATTCATGATATCTGCCTCCATTCATCCATTATCCAAACCATCACATAAGCATCAGGCAAAGAGAAAAGCATTCTATGTAGAGGAAACAGCATATGCAATATTCCTAAACTGAAAGATAGTATGGTGCATTCTGGAAATTAAAGACCATTTACTTTGAAATAGAAGAGGAAGTGGCTAGATCATGATGGGTTTTGTAGGTCAATTAAGGATTTTGCTGTTTAAGATCAATGGAAGCCATACATGGGTCTGAAGCAGGAAAGTGTCATGATCAGATTTATGTTTTGGAAAGTGTATTCTGGGTAGAATGGCTGGCAGATTTAAGAAAATTAGAAAAGAAGACCACCAGATAAAAGGCAAGTGCAATTATCCAGGTGAGGGGGTGGTACTTGAAACAGGGTACCAACACTGGACATGGAGAGAAGTGGATGGTTTCAGCGCTAGTTGCTAAGACCTGGTGGCTCAAACAGTAAAGAATCCACCTGCAATGTAGGAGATCCGGGTTCGATCCCTGGGTCGGGAAGATCCCCTGGAGAAGGGAATGGCTACCTACTCCAGTATTGTTGCCTGGAGAATTCCATGGACAGGGGAGCCTGGCGGGCAATGGTCCATGGGGTCACAAAGAGTTGGACACGACTGAGCAACTAACACTTAACACTTAGTGCTAGTAGAGATTAAGCCAGTAGGACTTGGTGATTATAGTAGGAATTCTCTCCTAGTTCAGTGTTGTTAGGAATTATCTAGTTTTGAGGGAATGGCTGACTCCAGGGGAGAGAAGAGAGATAACTGAGCATGTTTTATACCAGTTCTACCCTTAGACTTGGGTAAGGACCCTCCTCCTGCTACAAAGGGCAGGGAGTCCATGAGGTCAAGGGGCCATGTCTGCCAGGAGCATGCACACCTCTTTCAGAGTGGCTAGATTTGAGGGCAGATGGAGCAGCTGATTACCCATCACTATTAGCAGGGGGTTTAGGGATGTGGACATGGCTTGAACATGTTGAGTGAGGTGGGTGAAGATGCTTGGGATGGGAAAAGAATAGTGTAGGTCTGAGGAATGTATAAGTCTGAGAATTCTAAATGTAAACTTGGCCTTCCAGATTATTATTTATGGAGATTTGTGAAGTTAGTAGAATAGAATATATTTTTAATAATACTTTGATGATTCATAACTTAAATATTTAGACACATGGTCTTTGAGCCTCTGTAACCATACTCTTGCTCAGGCTCTAAATTTAGGGTCAGGCCTGATAAGAGAGTGTAACAGTATAAAAGAGTATAGTGCAAGTAGTAACATATTTAGATGATAGTTCACTTTAGCTGGACCCTTTAAGAGATAAAATTTTCCAGACTTTTGCATGGGTATAAATGGTGTAAATTTCTAGGTGCTATATTAATGCATATAAGAGGCTCTTTCCTATATTTGGAGACCCTTTCCTATTTCTGGAGGGCCAGCAGTTATTTTAATTGTAGTGATTTCAATGTGATTTTGAAAAGCTTCTTATATACTGCAGAAGTGTGGAGTGCAGAAGGGATCTTGGTGGTCATGTAATAAAATTTACTCACATAATAAATAAACCAGAAGTTCTGACAGAAAACGAGCACCCTGACAGAAATCACAAAGCTAGTCAATACCACATAATTACCAGCCCCATACTCTTTGTCCACTCTTGAACCAATGTCACTTTTCAGGTAGATATCTACTGCCAGTCAATTCCAAAAGTTTACATATGCTTTTATTGTTTTGCATTTTAAAAAGTACAGTAAATACTTTTCATTACTTTAAAAATTCGAGGTACCTCAAAAAAGTCTATAAAGCAATATTAAGTTTTGACTCCAAAATATTCTTAAAATCAACCCCCTTGACCCCTCAAAAGTGAACACAAAATTAAGAATTCCAACTTCATGAACTCACAAGAAGTGGTAATTCTGGAAAGTTAATTGTTTTCTACAAAGTCACAGGCAACTTAGGGCACCTTTTGGGACTCAAAATATTCTCTTATCTGGTCACCTACTCGTTTGACTACTTTTATTTTTATATATCTATTTCTTTGACTTTTTGGTCTCATGTAAGACCTTGGAATAAAATTATAATCGCACTCTTCACTTTGGTTGCAATTACTGTAACCCATCTCCTCAAATTCTTTATCTTCTAAGCTACAAATGAAAGCACACATTTACAAAACATCACTCAGACTGCTAACTAAACGCTAAAATACAGACACACACATACACAAAATCTCTTTTCAAACATCTATAAACATCGCTATTGAATTTTTCTTAGGAGTATCTGAGTTATAATAGTTAACAGAGAAATTTCTCTAGGAGAGTCTTACCTTCAAGCTGGATAGTAATCCGAAAGTTCTAGGTTTGCAGGAAGTTATTTCCCTCAAAGCATTAAAGATGATCATAGCAAGACGGTAAAGCATCTTGTCAGGACACCAAGCGACCTTTAGCCCCTCCCATCAACCGACTGCTGCCTAACAGAAGGAAGGATTTAATTTCCGGCAAAATTTTCTCCTCAGAGCTGAGAATCTGCGAAATTCGGCTTTTTGAGGGGGAAGAGAGAGGGAGGGACCAAAACGACCCCAGAGGAAAAAGAGGGGAAAGTGGTACAAGACAAAGTCGTCGAGGCAGAGACGAGCGAGACCTGGGTTCGGACTGACTCAGGGTCTGGAGTTAAGGTTCCTCTCAGACATTCACTGGGCCCCCGAGTTCACGCGGGCAGCAACTCGAAGACCCTCCCCTCACAGCTTGCTCCGCCACTAACTACGCCCGGGGAACCTGTGACCTCCAAAATGGGTATGCTAGGCGATTCCCCACACAACTTCGGCTGGAGACTCGCGCTTTTGATTGGTTCTTGGAGATATCCCTCAGCGTGGCTCGACCAATGGAGGGCCAGACCGCTCCGCCCCTTCCCCGCCCCCCAAGGAGAGCCCGCCCCTGCCCCGCGCCCGGGAGCCGAGGAGAGTAAATACAACAGGAGCGCAAAATGGCGGAACCGCCGAGCCTAATGCAAGGCGCCCCCGCTGCCGTCTCGGAGAAAGAATCGTTTGGCAAACTGCAAGCCCCATCCCGGGACCCGCCGGGTCCTCTGTCCGCCAAGAAGATCCGCACTGAGGAGAAGAAGGCGCCGCGTAGACTGAACGGAGAAGGATCCAGCAGCGGCAACAGCAGGCAGCTGCAGTCTCCCGCCGCACCTTCGTCTCAGAGCTATGGCAGCCCTGGGTCTTGGAGCTTTGCCGCTCTGTCCGCTGCCCCCTCCCCGTCGTCTGCTCGGAGCAATTTCTCTTTCTCCGCTGGCACGGCCGTCCCCTCCTCTGTTTCTGCTTCCTCCCCTCAGCCGGTGCCGCGCAAACTGCTGGTGCCTCCTACGCTGCTGCACGCTCAGCCTCACCATCTCCTGCTGCCCGCCGCCGCCGCCGCCACGGCCAGCGCCAAACCGCGCAGACCCAAGGAGAAGCGAGAGAAGGAAAGAAGGAGGCACGGTCTCGGCGGGGCGGGCGAAGCTGGCGGGGCCTCCCGCGAGGAGAACGGGGAGATGAAGCCGCTGCCGCGAGGTGGGTGCCGAAGCCGGCAGGGGGGAGGGGAGGGCGCCCGGGGTCCCAGGCACACGCTCGCGCCCGCGGGGCGCGGGCTGGGGGCGTGCGGGGGCCGCGTGCGCCGACCGGGAGCGGTCGCGAGGCTTCCCGTTCACTGCAGGCGATTTTGCGGTCCCCGTGGGGACAGGAAATGAAGCCTGTAATTTCGGTCGCAGAGTGGGGAATGGCCGAAACTCATTTTCTGTATCGTTTCTGCCTCCTAGTTAATGCGCGGCAGGGTTTGTAGAATTCGATCTAGAGGACCCGCCTGGGTGTGTTTGGCTATGGAGGGAGATTTGAGGGAACGGGATCGGGAAAGGTTTAGTCTTGTAAAAGATGTGCTTGATTATTAGACCGTTTAGACGTGATCACGAATTTATATTTGTGACACTGGCTCCAACGCCAGAAAATCCTATCAAGAAAAGGGGTGTGGAGAGCATTGGCGTCAGCTGGAAGCTACCAGAGGCCTGAGCTTTTCATCCCTATTAGGGAAATGAGGTAGTGTGCAGGGCCTGGAGTGTGCTGTTTTCATAAGGTACCCTCCCTTCACACTCCTTTCTCTTAAGTATTTTGAGTGGTCCTGTTTGAAATACCACCCTTCAAAAAGAATTTTCAGCCATATATATATATTTTTTCTTTCTTGCAGCAAATGATGAAATCAGGAACATTGACTTTTTTTTTGGCCTGACCAAATATTTGGCTGCAGAATGTTTTAGCATCAGAGTATGGCAAATTCTTTACTCTTTATTTTTTTTAATTTATTTTTAATTGGAGGATGATTGCTTTACACTCTTGTGAGAAAGGCAAATTCTTAAGCACTCTTTGCAGATAGGACTACCCGATCTTCTTTTAAAATGTAGGCTAAGCATATATAATTTTCAGAAAGTGTTTTTGTAAAATAGGTAGCCCTATTTAGCTATTTCATGCACAATGTTTTGAGAGTGGTACACGTGGAGACTGGTTGAAAATTAGATTTTTATGTGATCAAAAGCTGAAAGCACGTAATGATCTTTATTATAAATGTACATTGGTACACGGTGTTGTCACAGTATGTTTTAGGAAAAAAATGAAATGTCAAGCACTTTCAGCATTACTGACTTAATGGTACCTTAGATCGTGAAAAATTCTGTATTTTTTCCCAGTTTTAAAAAATGCTGCACATGAGTGTAACAACAGTGTTACTTCGATGGTCTGCCTGTAGCAAATTTTTGATATCTAAGCATAGCCATCAGGTACTCTGGCACAAGGTAAAGGATCTCACAGCTTTGGAGAGTGTTGTTTCTAGAAAAGTGGTTTTGAGGATGGGATTTATACTACGTTTAGCCTGAGATTTTAGGTGATTTTTGTTTTAAAGCAATTTTGTTCGAATAATTACATTTAAAAGTTGAAAGTGCCTGGAAGTCCGCATTTACAGCTCAATATTAGTCTTACTTGTCATGTGTAAACGGTGTATTTGCACTTCTAAGTTCTTTGAGGAAGTCTAAGTTCTTTGAGGAAGTGAATATGGGTATAGCATTGTCAGTGTATTGGAATGGCTGAAAATAAATAGGCATTCTTTAACAATTCTAACTCAAAAAATGGAGCACATAAATCACTTTTAAAGTGAAATGGCAAAAAAATAAATAAATAAATAAATAAATAAATAAATAAATAAAGTGAAATGGCTGTTAAAGAAAAAGTTTTCTAATTTAAAATTTTATGTAGAGTCCTCTGTTTGAAGGCAACAGCTTACATTATTAAGCCTGAGTGTAAGCAATGATAGCTTTTACATTAACATGTTTTTCCATGATTGATAGGTTTTTTAAGTAGTGACTAGATAGTAACACTGTGGTAAAATTTTCTTCTCTTTCTTGAATGGAAATGCTACTTTTATAGAGAAAAAACTAAACCTCAGTGAGGAGGACTGCTTGCAGTGTCTTGATGGTAAATTTCATGGTGAAAATCTGATCCAGCCCCCAAACTCCATTAAACAATTAAGCTCCTGTATTTATTTAGTAGAATTTTTTTTTTATAAGTTTTCAGTCAGAACTGCTGCATTTTTACATTGGCTACCTTTCCAGCAGAAGTTATTTGGATTAAATGAAAGTGTGTGTTTGTGAAAAGTAGGGCATTTAGTGAATGTTACTTGAGTCAGAAGCATGATTTTTTTTTTTTAAACCCCTTTTAAAAGATGGGTCAATCCAGATTGAGGACAGATCTGTTGACTGCATATCTGAAACTTAAAAGTGATGGACAGGGGGATTATAAAAATTTAGCAATCTAGATTCATTAAGTATAAGGACTGATGCCTTACACACCTAAAACCTCTGAGGCCATCTTGCCATAGTGCTGGAGCTGACTTGCATGATAACCTGAGTCATCAAGTAAAAGTTAAATTTCTTTCTTATAAAAAGAGAAAGTGGAAAACATCTTAGATTTTTAAAACTATGAATAACCAAGTTCTGCTGTATAAAGAGGTAATCTACTAAAGAGTTCACACCCCATTTTCCTGTAAGACAGAATGAATTATTAACTGTTAAGTGTAGAAGATAAAAGTGAATATTTGCTGGTGTCCACCATTTAACTTATAGCAAAAAATAGAACAGACATATTACTAGATAGTAAGCTGCCTTAACTGCATCTAGTAACCAATAAAACTTGTATCGATTTTCTGATTTTTGTTAGCATTTTTGTTTTGCCTTTATTAAGTTACTTAGAATGACCCTGCAAAGGATACCAAGACAAAACCAGGGCATTTCACTAATTTTTTGCCTTGAAAGTGTAGTTAAAGAATTTAATGAAAATAGAGGCTTTCTTTAGAATTGAATAATTTGGTATATGTAAATATCAGTGATTTTAAAGGGATAGATGTTCAAAGATTTTTCAAGCTAGGCTTTTTCTTCGTCTTTCTAATACTGTTATTCTGCAATTTTAGATTAAATTCAGGTTAAGAGTATTCATCATTCTGACCAAATATTTGTCACTGGTGAGATAGTAGTTTACTGTGATTTTATTTTATTGTGTAACCTTTTGTTTTTTATGCTTTGTTTTTTCATTTGCTAAGTTTTGTCTTTCTCTGCCCTCTAGCAGCTCTATAAAATGCTTCTCAGTACAATTTTCCACATGGTCAAATCTGTCAGATAAACTTAGCAGTTCCATTTATTCCTATAGTCATCCCTTCTATAGCTGTCTGTCTTCCCGCTTTATTCTGATTTGTTCTCTGTTTAAGCCTGCCTCAAAGCTGTCATCTTGGGACATTCTGGGAATTTGTTTCACTTTTGTTGAGTCCTTTTTTCCTGGATCCCATGCCTTCCTTTTGGTTTGTTCCTTCATTTTGGCTTGGGAAGGTTTATTTCTTCTAGCCTCACGCTTGACTGTTGGGCTGTTGAGAGATTTCTGTATTGGAAATTATTTTCCCTTAAAAGTTTGGAAGTGTTACCTTATTGCCTGGCTTCCAGTGTTGATGTTGAGAATTTTGATCTCCAAACAGCTGTCTTCTGTTCTATTTGGGAGATTTCAATCCTTTAACCAAGTTTTAAAATTTCAGATGTCTTTTTAAAAAAATATTTTTATGAACTCTTCTCTGTTTCCGTATTATAGCATTTTATTTCTTTTTCACAGGTACGTCATCTTCTGTTATCTCTTCAAGGATATTAATTATAGTTTCTTTGGCATGTTCTTCCATGCCTTGCATTGTATCTGCTTCCTCTAACTTTTTTTCTGTTTGTTTGGGTCTCTTTCTTTTTGCTCAAAGCTTTCTTCAGATCTGTGTGATCCTTAGCAGTTCCTTTATAATCAAGAGAATGTTACAAAGCTGATTGAAAGCTCACTGGGCATGCATGAGCATGTGTGAGTGCCCAGTCACCAAGTCCTGTCTGACTCTTTGCAACCCACAGACTGGATAGCCCTCCAGGCTTCTCTGTCCATGGGATTTTCCAGGCAAGAATACTGGAGTGAGTTGCCATTTGCTTCTGCAGGGGTTTTTCCCGATCCAGGGATTGAACCTGTGTCTCTAGATTAGCAGTTGGATTCTTCACTGTTGAGCCACCTGGGAAGCCGTCTCAAAGCTTAGTGACTGATGAACTTTCTTTTTTATCTTTGTTTGTTTGCTTTCCTCTAGGTGGTGGGCAAGAAGGCTTTCAGTTTCTTCCTTCATTTTTCTGTTCCTCTGTATAAACGGAATAATGGAGAGAGGAGA